GGGAGCCTGGCCTAGTGGGGGGCTGGTCTTGGGCCAGGCTGCAGGGAGTTGGGGGCATCCCAGCTGACTGGGGAGGAGCACTGGGGGCAGCCCAGAAGCCAGGGGGCAGGAGGGGGCAGCTAGGCTGTGTGTGTGGGTTGGTGGGGCTGCAAGCATCTTGGCCCAGTGGCTGGGGCGGGGGAAGGGTAAGAGGCCCCCCGCCACCCGTGTTCCCCTGACACCCCCCCCACCTTGCAGCTGCAGCCCTGGCCGCGTGGGCAAGCTGTGTGAGTGCGAGCTGGCGGAGGCCACGGACCTGGAGGCGGGGTGCCGGGGCCGGAACGGCACGGGCCCCACGTGCAGCGGGAAGGGGCAGTGCGTGTGCGGGCAGTGCCAGTGCAACAGCAACGTGCGAGGGCAGCACTGCGAGTGCGACGACACCAGCTGCGAGCGGCACGACGGGCAGCTCTGCGCAGGTGAGGGCAGCACCGATGGGCTGGGCAGGTGCTGGGGGACTTACGAGCTTTGATAGGGCCTGCCTCACTGGGACAATGGAGGGAGGAGTGAAGGGGTGACAGGCATGTGCAAGGCGAAGGAGGGATGGAGAGAGGGGACGGGGTGTGGGGCCAGATTGGCTCCCAGACAGGAGCAGGTGCTCGCCCAGGCTGACGGCACCCTGCCCCCCTCCCCTCCGCAGGCCAGGGTCGGTGCCAGTGTGGGAGTTGCATGTGCAACGAGGGTTACACGGGCAGCGCCTGTGACTGCAGCCTGGACACCCGCGCGTGCCTGCAGGACGGCGTGGAGTGCAGTGGGCACGGGCGCTGCGTCTGCAACAAATGCCAGTGCCAGCCGGGTTACTTCGACCGGCTCTGCAGCCGGTGCACGAACTGCCGGACCCCCTGCGAGGAGCACCGGTGAGCAAAGGGCAGCGGTCGGGAGCCTGTCAGTGCCCTAAGGCCAGCTGGGGTGGGTCAGGCTGCCAGGGGGCTGGCAGAAGGTGGCAGGTTGGGGCGGGGCGGCAGCGAGTGGT